CTCTCATAAAACCAACTATTTACACGCCCATTTCCCAGCCGATCTCATCTTTTATCGTATTTGGACTTCTTATCATTCAACTATTGATTGCTCCTTTACTTTACCCAACTTTCGTTCCTCTGTACAATCCACTTCTATTTCTCTCCCTTACGCTTCCCTCTCTCTTCCTCCCACTGATATCTCTCATTTCTGGTCCATTCCAGATACCCAATCCTTCTTTAACCATGAATTTCAGCATCTCACCACGGACTCGGTGTTGTTTTACACCGATGGATCTAAGGTGGATCATAGTGTGCATGTTGGTGCGGCGGTCTTCTCCCCGCAGTTGAATGCTGAGCTCATGCTCAAGCTTCCACCTTTTACCTCCGTCTTCTCCGCTGAAGCCTATGCTATTTATACCGCTATTACTTTATCTGTCGACCTTAAACTTCCTAAAGCTTCCATCATCACTGACTCCAAAAGCGTCCTGGAAGCCGCCAAAGGCTATCGCAATTCTACAAATAACTATCTTATTCCCCTCATTAAATCTGCACTGGAAGAAACCGAGACTTCAGGAACGGATATTAGATTTATATGGATCCCCTCGCATTGAGGTATCGAGGGCAACGAAAAGGCAGACCAGCTAGCTAAGCGCGCTATTCGACACGGTATAGAACGAAATTTCAAAGTTCCTTACTCGGACCTTTGCGCGGTTATTAAACTGGATATCTTTAATAATTTTTATCACCAATTGGAATCTCAGGCAGACATCAAAGGCTCCTTTTACTTTTCAAAAATATTTAACAAATCCTCCAAACCCTGGTACTTTCGCATGAAGGTCTCCAGGGAAACCATCGTCATGATCAATCGCCTGCGCTCCGATCATTACAATTTAAATCACAGCTTACATCGGAAAAATTTAGTCGACGACCCCTCTTATCCTTGCGGTTCTCCAAAACAGGACATTTTGCATATGATTTACGACTGATGATGTCCCGACGTTTATGAAGGTGCGCGCTTTTTAAGGCGTGTCATCGACCGAGTCGCCTCAACTGGCGACAGACTAACTAAATTTGCTCTTGCTATCTCTAAACCGTCTGAATGCATATGCAGACTCATTCTTAATTTTAGTAAGTTATGTTGCAGGCAATTTTAGGCGTTAAACTTTCGCGCCTCCTTGTGACTTGCGCAGGCGCCCAGCCCTGCGCCCGCTCTTGCCTCCCCCCTCCCATCCTAGCGAAGCTCTGCTCCGCTTTTCATGAGGCTCACTGTCGCGAGGTTCCGGCGCGTCATCCCGTTATCATCTGTTTTACGTCTTTCTTAACTACTCGTATACTCCTTATTCTATTGTTTTTATCTTTTGGACGTGATCTGGCCGTATCGTCCTCCTATTACTGCCTGGAGCCATTAAACAACAAAGAAGAAGAAGAAGCGTCGAGTCAGTCGAACGACCGAAATATGCTTTCTTGGTCTCTCGGCTCTCGGCGTCAGGCGTATATCAAGAAACATGGGGGCATGAGGACGTTCTGAATATAACATATAAGTTTTAATAAATTGTAATAATCATATACCCCTCTCATTAATCTAGAATATTTTAAATCGTGTCAAAACGCGATAGTTGACGAGAGATTAATTGTTTATGATTTTTCATTCGTATACGTTATGTACTGCGGACATAAATTCGATTCGCAAGAAATTGACGTGGTCGAGCGCGTAAGGTGTGAGATCGGAAATAAGTACTCAAATTAGTAATAAATATATATATTAGGTCAAATATATTTTCATATAATTTTTGAAATTATTCGTATGTGTAATTTTTAAGCAAAGCTGTAGGAAAAAACCGATTCGCTTTTCAATAAGCAAATAAAAAATTATTTTAAAATTACACAACATATGAAGGCTTTCAATTGTGCACTACAAAATTATATTGGTATCATATTTATTTATATTATTAATAATTAATAAATATGTTAAACAAGGACTATCTCTTCTTAAAATAACAAAAACCACATAAATCTGGGCTAATGAGAGTCAGCGCAAACGGAGGTGCGCAATAAATCTTTCACAAATAATTTTGTTAATCCATACGATGTGTTGATATCATCTTTATTTGAAATCTTGAACGTTTCGATTCGGGTGGCACCCAGTTGGACACGGCTCAATTGGACATGAGCCACTCACAGCGCTTGAGACTACAAAGCTCCTAAGCACCGG